CATATATACGATTAAAGAAATAAATGTTATACATGCGATATGCAACGAATTATTTTTCTTTTATTATTATTTTGTTTTCTGTTTTGTAATTTGTTTTGTATTCTTTTGCATACAAAAAGTGTCTTGTTAGTACACGAGCATCAATGAAAGTGTATCTTTGTTTATTTCACATCACTGCACGATTGTTCTCGTTTAATAGATGTGAAAACACTATTTTTCTCTCAGAGTCGCAGCCGTGGCTCGTGCGCTTGTTCTACCCGGCTTGTGTCCAGCTGATCCACCGATGTTAAAAGTATTGCTTATATCTGTAACATATCCTTGTCGCTGAAAATTATAGTTGTTCGAAAGAAAAGACAGAAAAAGAAAACAGTAATAAAATAAACATGACTCATTCGTTACCGCATGTATTACATTCATTTCTTTAATCATATATATGTGAAAAGATAGTTCCGAGAAAAGAGGACGAATAACGGATTGAAGAACAGCAAGGGACGTACTCATAAGTCGAATAAGTTCGGATATATCGAAGAGGGACTTCATGAACTTTTTTCTTGTCAAAAATTAATTTCTTTTTTTAGATCTGAATGAGGGAAGGTTGGAGCACATTTTACTAATACCCCGTGTAGTGTCTATCTCAGTCTGACAGGCTTTCCTCCAGCCTATGTTCGACTTAAGGCAGGACACATGAAGGAAACAATATGAAAAGTAGGAGCACCATAAATGGATACTTTGAATTTCATTTGCCTATTTCTGTTGTAGATAATTCTAAGACTTCTGGCTTTCTTACGATTTCTATCGTAGTCCAATATTTGTCTGTAATTATTTTATCAATTGATCAATTTTTGCCTAATTGGTAAGTTACAGAAACGCGATCATTGTTGAAATGGATGTTAAATTACATTAAAGGCTTTTATCTTATAATGTTTTTTCTCTTAGTTTTCTATTTTGTTTTTCATGCATGTTATAAGTAGAAGATAGTCGGAGATTTTTCTACATGGTATTTACCATAAAATTCTTCAATCAGTGTTTCTCTTTAAAGTAAATTATAAGTTGAGATTTAAATGCTAGTTCAGAGTACATCAATTTTTCTTCAATGCGTTATGATTACGATTGACAGTCTGTGTCTGGAAATTAATATTGCCAATCATTAGCCGTACAAGATGTTTCTGTTATGAGTGACTGGAGGACGGTACCAGCATTTTATGAAACTCACCAATAGAATAGTTAGTATACGTTTTGTATGTGATATTCCTGTGATTGCTTTTCTTACATACACTGCTTCTTTAAAGCTATGCCCGTTCTGATTTCGATTTTGGAAGTAGATGACTGCACGAAATGCAATGAGCTGATCTATTACTTTTTAGTCTCTTAATTGCCATAGAGGAATGAGGACGTGGATGCGGGCCAGGGCCAGGGTTGCGGATGTGCAAGTGAATTTATAAGTTGAAGAGCTTTGTCTGCGCCTATCCAGCCCAGACACTAACCCACACCATGGCCATATCTGCACCAGCACCCAAAAGCAAACCCATCCATCTCATTCCCTCTCACACCCACGCCCACCCTTGGCTAGAAGTCTGATTCATTCCGTAAAGCAGTTGTTCCCAAGATGTCGAGTTTTTAATGTATGATATGAGGCAACGAGATTGAAACGGTTGATTGTTGTTTTTTTAAATTAGCGAAACAGAAAAGCTGACACTTTTGTTCGGTCTCATGCACTACCTACCTGACTTGTTCTGAATTGAGAGCTAAATCAAATTCTATTGATAATGCTTGTATTCATTGTCCATGCAGGAGTCCAACGAGAACATAACATTCTCATTTTATTTCAGCGCTCTTTCAAACCACAATGATCTCGCTAGAAAAAAAATCAGTCAGAGATAGTTCAAGAAAAAGTGAGTGAAACACAATGGTTTCTGATATCGGCTGCAGGAAATGAAAGACGTCGCATCGCAGGATAAGACAATTTAGATCACAACGTCAAATGAGAAACACACTTTGGTCACAGTTTTGAAAGACTTTGAATGAGTGTCTGTATAGCCACTAGCATGCCAAGTGTATTGAATGATTCGACGAAAAGTTTCGGATAATAGTTGATCGTGATTGAAAGACGTCAAACAGATGATATTATACCGCTCATTCATGTTGATGTCAAGCTCATCGAGTATCACAAAACCATATAATTGACAACAAAGGATTCGCCTGTATTGAAATGAATTTTTTTATATTACTTTGACCTATGAGAATAGAACGCAACATATATATATAGGGAGAGAGAGAGAAGTTCGAGACATTTACGCAACACAGTAATTTTTTCAAGTGTTTACTTCTTCTTTGAGAAAAGTAAAAATATGTGAATACATTCATTTTTCAGTGACTTGTTGAGAGATGAGATAGATCGTGTGAAGTGAGTTCAAGTTGATAACTTTTGGCCATTCAGAGAGAAGAGTTTGGGCTATGCTCTGTCAACGGGCAATACCAAGGAGACTAAGCGCGACATTTTGAATTGTAATTCGTTCACTAAAAATGCAATCAGGTCGAAATTTCGGTCTCATACCATACAACCCATCTCATCTCTCAACAAGTCATCCAAAAATGGATGTATTCACATATTTTTACTTTTCTCAAAGAAGTAAACACTTAAAAATTACTGTGTTGTGTAAATGTCTCGAACTTCTCTGTATATATGTGTGTTGCGTTCTATTCTGATAGGTCAAAATAATATAAAAAAATTCATTTCAACAACGACGAAACTTTTGTCGTCGACTAATAGATCTCATGAGAAATCACTTTCATTTGCGTGGTAAAAATGGTATTCAATGGTTGAATTTGAGCCGTCCTTTTCTGCAGTATCTCAAGTATTATGCACCCCGAGATATGATTATATAGCCCATTTCCAGATCAATATGCAAGTAAGGACATCGTGAGCTATTTGGAACTGTTGCAAGTAAAGATCATATTCGAGGCCTTGAAAAGATTCAGTGGAGTCGTGTCTTTCATTTTGCCGTTGCACTTCTTGAAGCAGAGGTAGAGTGGTGAGAACAGGTGGCTATCAATCAATATGATGGGCTGCACTTGTAGCTATGAGTCTTGCCGTTTGTAGAGTAGCCAGCAACGGCATCAGCTATTTTCTTGCTGTTGTTGCTCAAGATCTGAATAGAATGTACTTTGAGTTCCATCGTATTTTGATAGGTTTTCATGACGTCGCTTGCTTCGTATTTCAGCAAACGCTTACGAGCATCAGTCACGAAATAATCGGCCGAAGCTCTAATTGTGTTTCGATATTATGCATCGCATTTCGTCAAAATCTGTAAGAAAAACAGATATTTTAGCAAACTTTATCGCAAACTATTTTCGGAGCTACTAAAGTTTCACGTAAAACATAGACGTCTGGATGTCGCCAAGAGCTTTTTTTCATTTCTGTCTGATTGTCGAAAACGAGGATACTTCCCGTATATTTTTGAGACTTGATAAAAAATCACTCCCTTCGTCACCTGGCGCGGTATATTATTGTGCTTATGTTTAAATGCGTGCAGTCAATAGCTTGAAGCTATGAAACTGTATAAATATTTATTCGTCCATTGCTTCTTCAACAGCCACCGACGGCGTCAAAGTCATGCACTGGCAGATAGTTGCTCAAAGTATGCCCGAACATATCTAACATATAATTATCAGCTTTATCAAGCATCTGCTTCTTCGCACTGTGTCGCTTAAGATTAGGACGAAATCCAGCGATGTATGTTTGATATGAGATACGTTAGAAGTTATGTCTGACTGTCTATCACCGTCGCTTTCGTTGATTAGTGTTCGGGTTGATTTCGTTGTAGAAATTGATCGCCTGAGTTATGTATTCGAGCGAAAATTACTTGCATAACGCGTTCTTCTCGCCTTCTTTCCCATCATGATACACGGGACTGAATGGTTCTTCAAGAGGCTTCTGCTTGGATTCGAATAGTCGAACCAGCATCTGATCCAACGTCATATTTTGAACGCGAACTCGATTCTACTCTAGCAGAAAATCTTATTTCTTATTTAAGTAAATAAGTTGTTTTGCGTATAGGTATGTGTGAATGCCAGAGTTGCAATCAATAACCGTAAAAGGCCGCTTAAAACCGGCCCGATACGATCCACTAGAAGACTTCCTACCGATCAGTAGAAATAACATTTTTTTAAAGGTCGATTCTGACTCTTGTTTTGCTTTTTCCATGTTTTTTTGAAAAAATTGATCGTAAAAGTGCTTTTTTCACAAATCCAACAATTTTCACTGGTGTTGAAAACTATTTCTTTGTGGGAACATACATCACACTATTCTATGAAGTAAAAATTCATCATAGTGTATCCAATACATTTTATTCACTCACTTTGATATCTAGTTATGCTATTGAAACAAATTTCAACAATAACTTGGGATTGTAATGTACCATAAGTTTATATGTATTTCCTACAATTTACCGCATATATTTTGCACAAGCATAAGGGATAACAAAGCAAAAATAACGTAAAAACTAGACTAAGTCAATACTTAATTAATAATATCCATGTCTTACGGACATTTAATTAGTGCAAAAAGCTAATAAATAATTTGTAGTGTGGATGTGAGTGTAAGTGTAAGAATTCATGGCTAAGGTTATGGAACGTCTTCTAGTCACTTACCACCTCCACCACCCCCACCCGGACCCACACTCTCCCATACTTACACTGCTGATGATACTCTGGAAGGTCGATTGAATCAATATGTGAAGTAAACGAGAGAATATCATTCAGAGTATCACATTAGACTGATCTTATATTATTTAGAACGTTGGCATTCGACTGGAAATTAAATAAAATTTCAAGAAGATTGATGTATTCAAAATATTCATTGATTTGATCCAATAAAAAGGCTTCATCGTGTTCCAGTCCGGATATCAAGTAGCAAATACAAGATAATCGAAGAAATAGCATAGATTTAACTATTAAAAACTTTCCATTATCAGTCACATCAAGTGGTGACTAACTCAAAGATGGATCAGTCCTCAAATTCAATCTTCGGAGACAATAAGTCAAGTCCAAACTCGACTGTACAAGAACAAGTCAATAGTTCGAATAAAAAAAATGAAAATCTTTCAACAACAGCTGTATACACTTCTATAGACGGTAAAAAATTCGAATTGCGTGAACTAGAGAACAGCCTGAAATCTACTTTAGAAAAATGCAAAATCAAAGATATGACACATTTAGCAGAAAGAATGAAGCGAACAGAAGAACGAATTGAGCAGTATGAAGACGAGAGTAGAAATGAGGAAGCTGAGAACGAAAGAAGATATCATAATGAGTTAAAACAATTGCAAGTACTTAACGAAGAAATAGCTTTGAAAACTGCTGTATTTCTTTCGAAAACTATTGACAAATTGGATTTGAGTGAATTAGAAAATAGATTGAAATATGGTTTAGAAAAATGTAAAATTAAAGATTTAGCAGAAGTGACTGAAAGAATAAAACGAACAGAAAAGCGCATTGAACAGTATGAGGATGAGGGTAGAACGGATAAAGCTGAACAAGAAATGGATTATTTGCGTGACTTGGAACAATTACAAAGAATAACGGAGGAGATAGTTTTACGCAAATCAACACAGACTACTTCGAATAATGATGATGAATTGAATCAGAAGATGTGCGTAGAAGAAATAGTAGAAAATTTGGACCAGAGGAGAACGTTCCATGTACAAGAAAATAAGCGAGCGGATCAGAAGAAATTGTTTGATGATTTGGCCCATATGCCTTGTTGTGCGGAGAAAACTGCTGTTGAACTTTTGGCATATTTTCAACAGAGACTACTCGAAGATCGTATAATTGAAAAAACACCCGATTCAATCACTCTCAAATTAGAAAAATTGCAAGATCAAGTTCAAAGAGAAGAATTATTTTCCGAGCAAATTAAAACTTATTTTCAAGATTTAAATCGAACTATACATAACGAAGATTATTCATCTACGATGCATATATTAAGCAAGCTCTTAAAGAAAATCCAACCTTTAGATCTACAAGAATTACAAAGACTCATCGAAAAGACGAAAAAGGCAGCAGCTTTAATCAGTGATAAAGACATTATTCTGTTAGTAGGTATTACTGGTAGTGGAAAATCGACGACAATTCAGTTTCTCACCGGTGCTAAGATGAAAGACACCCTGATAGAAATAGCCCCTGGAAAATTCTTAGAACATATAACAATAGATGGTCCTGTCAAGAATGTTGGATTAAACAGTGTGACAAGTAGTCCGCTGAGCAAGTCCGAAACTCGATATATTGTACCGGTTACAGTGCAATTACAGGACATTTTCGGTCAGTATGAGACCGGAGAGATTATTCTATGTGATGCGCCAGGTTTTGGTGATACAGCGGGCCCAGAAGTCGATATTGCTAATAGCGTCGGAGTTATCGACGCTCTCAAGAATTGTAAGAGTGTAAAGATACTTGCTCTATCAAGCTATAGAAGTTTAGGCGATCGAGGACAAGGTATTCAAAAATTAGCACATCTTTTGATCAATATGATTCATGGTATTGAAGATAGACTTTATGGTATTTGTTATGCATTTACAAAATATCCTTTAACAACGGATATTAATGCATTGTTAGTAGATATTAAAAATTCAAAATTAGATGTAGATCCTATTTTACGATCCGATAGGGCTTTTGTAGCTGTATTAACAGATATGATTGATAAAACTAAACATGATGCTGAAAAAATTGACCCCATTCATGGTAATCCAAAAAGTTTAATTAAAAAACTCAAGTATTTACACGGTATTTACTATCCAGGAGAAGTTTTTCGATTTTCAATGAGTGACGAAACACAAAATACGATTTTAGATCAGATACAAAAATACAAATTGAGTATTATGTGTGCATTAAAATGCAAAAACACAGACCTTGTCATGTATTATTTGAAGAATTTCAAAGTCTTAAATGATTTGATCCAGCAAAATTCTGTTCGAGATGCATATGAAGATTCGATACATTTTCTAAGCGAGAATATTGAGCAGTATTGTACAGATGTGATGAGAAAATTCAATCGTACTGTAGCTAGTCAAGATGGATTGACAGATGAAGACATTCGAGAGTACAAAACTGCTTATGATTATATCCAACAGATTCAAAGTTTAAGAGAACATTTAGGATCGAAATTAGTATCCGCTGAAATATTGATCGAAAATATTCTTTCTGAATTCGAGAAAAGAAATTTTATGCTGAAAGAACAAGCTTTATACAGTTCTTCGATCAGAATATATTTGAATAATTTTCATCTACTTCAAAATTCTTTTAAACAACTTGAATCGTATTACATAAAAGCATGTAAAGATTTTGCCGAGCGTTTTGAATCTACACTGATACAATCCGTACCCGAACTGATTTCAACAAATGAATTTAAACAAATAGCTGAAAGAATTTTTGTCATATCAAAATGTTTACCCGTTTTAAATCATCATTTCAATGGAAAAGTCGAGAAAAACTATCATGACATTGTCAAATTAATTTTACAACATTTGAATAGTTTTTCTGAAAAAGCCAATTCTCTTTTGATGAAAATCACATTAAGTAATAGTGATATAGAAATTCTTCAAAACTATATGATCTTATTAAAAACAGCTAAAGAAACACCTTCACTTCAAGATCAAATTTCTAAATACATAGAAATCATGAAATTAAAAGATAATATTTCTGTTCAAACCATAAGAGATTTAAATAAAATCTATGATGAATTTATTATAAAAATTATCAAATATTTTGATGAGATAAATTTAAGAACTAAGGAGCTTTTTGAAAAAAATGGGAAGCATGCACTTGAAGATGTCGAACGATTAGTTATTCAAATGGAAATGATCCGTACACTACCCGAAATTGAATCGAAAACTGCTCGAACATTTTATCATAGTATACAAAATATACGTGGATATATGCAACAATGGCAAAGAGATGCCGAATTGCTTCTTGATCATCAATCAGAAGTGATCAATTTTGGACCTCTAAAAAGATCATTATTACGTTTGAAAAAGACCGAATGGATCGACCGTATTTGTCCGGGTACTTATGATTCAATGATGCGTCATATTCGAGAAGAATTAGAAGAACATGCTGATCAGTTAGAACATCGTTTGAAAAAATTGGATTTTAGTTTAAAATGTCCACAAAATATTCGTTTAGTACAGGAGATTGTTGAAAAAATCGATGCAATGCAAGTTTTAGAGCAAAACATTCCGGCGTTGAAAAAATATCGAGATCGGATAAATCAACACTTTCTTCAAGTCACAAAGGAAGCTTTCGATCATATTAAAAAAACTTTCAATTTATCAGACAAAATTCTAGATCATCTTAAACAAGAATTGATCAAATTAGAACAAATCAAAAACGAATATGATCACTTGTGTCCAGCTCGTGTTTATTTACGAAAATTTGGATATTCAGATATCAATGTATTGCATCAGGATATTGAAAATTTAAGAATTCGACAATATGCAGATCTAGAAGAAGCAGAAAATGAAAAACGTCGAATGGAATCTCAATTGAATGATTTCAATATAATTATTCGACATTATACACTTTTGACTTCATCAAGAATAAATCTAGGAATTTTGAATAGATTGGTTGCCAAAGTAGCAATAGGAATTCAGAAACTTGAAACTCAGCCGAATGAATATTTAAAACAAAAGGGATACGCAAACATTGAAATCTTCAACAAAACCATGACACAAGTTCAGGAAAATTACGATAAACTATTACGATTGATTGAAAATAAGCGTACCGATTTTCATAATACTTTAAATCGCCTTGAATCAATCAACAACGAATATGTTTCGTTATTAAATTCAAGTAATTTGATTTCTTCTCAAGAAATTGATTTTCTACATGAGAAAGAACAAATCAGTTATGAATTACTTGAAGAAACTATTCAAGAAAAAAAGAAAATTCTTATTGAATATGAGAACTATAAGCAAATATATTATTTTAGTAACAAACTAGAAGGTCTTGTAGCAAATAATGCATTAATATACATAAGTAACTGCGAAAAAGTAGAACATCATCCTGTCAAAAAAATAGCAGCAGATGCGAATGAGTTTTTGAGAAAGTATATAAGAGAGTATGGTTATTTTCTGAACAAAGAAATAGAACGAAATTTTAAGCACATAACTAATACTGATGAAGTTGATCGAAATCGATATTCAGAAAAATTAGAAATTTGTTTTCAAGAATTATCTTCTCTCGATAAATATGCACTTATTTTCGAATGTCTACATGGAGCTAAGAAAATAGAAGATTGGCATCGACAATTTTTTAATTATCATCGTTTTCTTGGTAATAAAATGGAAGAATATAAAATTTCTGGTAGCAATGAAGAATTCAAAAATCTGTTAAGTATTGCTCAAGCTTTGGGCTGTATAGATCGTTTCTGTACAATTATATTAGCAGATAATGGATTTCATGCTTTACATAGACAGCATCAAATTGAGATTGCTAGAATGTCTCGAGAAGCTTATAATATGGTAATCGATTATATAATGAAGGGAAAATATGCAAATGCAGATCTAGCGCTATCGGATATTATTGAAAATTCATCCAATTCGAAATATTTGACTCAGATAAAACATGATTTACAATGTTCTTTAAGTAAAATGATGAAAAATACTCAAACTTGGGCACATTCACTTGATGGAAAAATCGAACGAGACGAAGATAATCGAAATAAAATCAGAGAAATCAATGAAAATATTGAAAAAATTCGAATTGTTCTAAATCGGCATCGTATTATGAAATTGATGGATGAACAAATGAAAAAAGATATTCAAAATTTTGAGAATGAAATCAATCAAATTTTATCGAAAGCTATTTTGAATGGACTTCAATCTATTGAATTATTTATCAATATAAATCATTTTCTTGAAGCTGAACAATATATGAAAAATCTTCTACGTTTACAACGTGAATTAGCCGATTATTATACATCGAAACTCGTAGAAAACAAAACAGAAGAATTAAAAACAAGATTAAATACTCTAGCTAATGATATCTTGCAACTTTATGATTTTGAAGATATTAACAATTATGCGAAAAATCCACCTAGAGATCTTTTAGATCTATTAAAGAAGGCTAGTTCAGGTGGTTATGCTAGATATGCACAAGCTTATAGTTCTTTAATGGAAAGAATTCGAGTAAATTTTAGTCTAGCTATAGATAAAGTGTGTGATAATTCTACGAGGGACCGTTCTGCAAAAATACGATCAATCAAACATGCTTTTTACTTTTTACCAGATGAACTAAAAACAGTATTTCAATTGCAAATAGATCAATTGAATCAGTTGAATACCAATCAACAGCAATTGATAGAATTTGATTAGAAGAAATTTGTGAACAATGAAGATGAAGATAAGAATGTCAGAGATATTTGCAAGTATTAAAAAGAATAGCATGATTTGAGAAATGATCAACACAGAATACAGTTTTTTCTTAGTAATTACGACAATTCCCTAAATTTTCAATAAGATAAATAAGTTTTTCGTATGACATAAAAGGGGCAAAGCATAACATATCGACAGATATATTTTTATTTCATATAGAATTTGATATTGCACTTTTTAACTAAAATATGTAATTAATGGAACAGTTTATGAAACGAATTGTGATTGTCAACTTTTGAGTCAAACGTTTGTAGATTCGCTTTTCCTTACAAAACTAATGTGTCAAATCTTTGTATTCTTTCTTTTTGTACTTGTATGAGTTGCATGACATGTTCAATTGCTATTGTTATTTATATTAAATTGTTTTATTTAATGATTTTGTTCGTTTTTTTTAATTTTCTGGAATATTTAAAGATATTACACTTCATTTTGTCGATGCAAATTTCGTTTTTTTTTGTTCATAATAAATTGATTTTAAGTATTCTCTTAAGTCTTGTCATCACATTGTTGGTTCGGTCAATTGGCATAAATGTTGACACTTGTGAATCTCTCAGATGGATCCATTCACTTTTATGATATACAATTACTTAAGAGATATTGAACACAATTTTATTTTCAAGATGGAGACAGGAAGGTGAAAGATTCCTATTCAAATTTTCTTGCTCATGTTCAAGTTTTTCTTTCTTTTAACAAGAAATATATAGGAAAACTTTTTTTCATTTTTTTTCTTGACTGAAAAAAGCCTCGAAAAATTTCAATAGTGATATTCTATGAAAAAAAAATTCTTTTTGGTTCACCGAATGCCATCGTCATGGTCGAAAAGACATATAATAACACTCCTATTAAAAAAGCCGTGAGTCTATCGGTACACTTCAACATCAATATAATAGTATGGTTTTTTATGATTTGTGCAAGTAATACGTTTTCAAAAATAGTCTTGCAAATAATAACTGAGTTCAAACTTAAGATATAAATCGTCAAGAATTTTCGATTACGATCTCAACTTCTATTTTAGTAATAAATTAATATACATTTCTGACTGATATCTATCTAGGTCTAATTATGAAATTGTTGATATATATTAATCAATTAATATAAAATTAGATATTGAATCGTATTATCTTTTGAGACAGAGATTATAGTTATCAAGTAATTCATATGAAATTTATTTATTTCATATTAAATTTCAATAATAGTATTTAAGATATTTAAAGAATACTCTTTTCAAATGATCGAAATTTTTCAAAATCTTCTTAAAAATTGAACGTGATAGAGTTATAGTAGCTTTTATAAATTAGAATGAATAATTTTTTATCATTCATAATCTTCAATTAAATAATAGAAGTCGAATAAAAATGCAAATTTGTTTTTATAATTCCAAAGATTTTAATCCTCAAATACTATCATCGTAGGAAACTTAAATATGAAGATTCGAAATAATTGAAAAATTATTAGTATTGATATGAACAAAATTGATTATTGGTGTCTATAACTTGACTATGAAAATGAAACAGAGACCTAGTTTCGAATATTTTCATTCTGTCTATAACCATGGCTATTCCCTTTTTGAAAAACTAATCTATTTCTTTTTCAAAATCAAATGTCTTCTTATAAGCAATAAATATATCAACATAGTCAACTTTCATATATGATTTAATATTCCATTTTCAAAGCGTAATATTTTTTGTTTCTATTTCTTCTTGAACAACATACACGGAACATACACACGCACGCACGCACACACATACAGAAACAGACAAATAAAGAATTTCTATCTACAATAAACGATTTTGTCAATACCCCGAAAAACAAAAAAATGAATATCAAGACTGAATTGACAGAAAAACAAAACAACAACATTTAGAAATCTTTTTTTCTTTGTTTTCTCGAGTCATCTAAGACAAGATCAATCATGACTATTCATATGGCCTGTTGAAATATGTTATTCTTCCGTCTATCTGACACGAGTACGAAATAAATTTAAATTATGAAGGAAAACAAACGACAAAAAAGAAAAATACAGTCAGATAGATAGAGATTTAACTTAATTGCAAATGAATTTTTTTGGCTTTATTAAGTAGCAATCATTGTTGGAGTTGATGTTGATGATGATACTGTTGATATGGATAATTGTTTACATCGTGCGCATTTAAATTCTTCTTTTTTCTTAACACTTGTTAAACCAACACACACAAGATGAAACCATCGTTCACATGCATCACAACAGACCCCTTTAAAATTTTATTATAAAATATTTAAAAAAATAGAAATTTTTGTTTTTCAAATCAATTATATTTACATTTAATTGATGATCCACTAGGCTTTAAACATGCTCCACCATCAACTGCACATTCATCTTCAACTCCACCAATAATAATTCCTTTTTTTGTTTGATCATTGTCATCATCAGATATAAGTAATAGATTATTATCATGATCAATATCAGATTTAGGTGATGATTTTATTGATGTTTGTTGAATATCAATCATTGATGAAACATAAACAACAGGTGCAGATGTTCCTAATTGACTATCTGATGAACGTTGATCAGATAATATTGATTTACGAGAACGTTTACGTCGTACAGTTTTTTCTTTAAGCAAAAAATTAGTTTTAAATAAAAAAAAAAACTTTTTTTCATCTATTACCTGTTTTAGAAAGAATTTCATATGATTTTCGTTTACGTATTGTTGTTGACTTAGTTTTTTCTGTTTGTGAACGAGCAGTTTTTGGTTTCTAATCATGATAAGAAAAAAAAAAAACGTTTTTGTTCATAATCTATTCAATTATATTTAAACATACATCTGATGATAAATTTAATCGTCGTGATGAATGAACTAATTTTGTAAGTAATTTTATTTGATCAACATAAATTTCTAAAAGACCACCTTCAATAAGTAAATTTTCTAATTGATTTTCAGCCAAATTATTTAATGAACGAGATGCTATATAAAGAAAAAGATCAAGATATAAAAAAAAGCAAACACAATGAAAATAAAACTTACTTTCAGATTCGAAATTTCGTGATTGTTGTTTGCTTGTATCATTGACAAATTCATCCTAATATAAATAAAATAATTCTTTTTTTTCAATATCTTGTTCAATAAATCAAGTCTTCGATGAAAGACTTTATAAAGAATAAAACCACTAGAATACAATGTCTAAAGTTGATCCCATTACAAAAAATTGCGATGGATATCCATCGATCCATCAAAGATGATTTTCCTATTGTCGTTTTATTAAAGTCTTGGATTTAAATAGACATTTTATATTGCAAGACTAAAAACAATCGTATAGTACAATGTACATTTAATCTTACCTTTATAATTTTATTTTCTTGTTTGACTGTACTCAATTCACGTAGAACAGGTGAAGCAAGAAACGCTCTTAAAACAAAAAACATATGAACATAAATTTTTTCAACACATTTTTCTTTCTATTCTTTTACTCGGCTTTTTCTTGCCATGCGATAGCTCGTTCAGTTAAACATTGTAATATTTCACCTTCAGGTAATCGAACTGTTAGCTTCTGTAAATTTGCAAGAAGTTTAACTACATCTTGCAGACGTGGTCTTCGTGATCGAATACAAAAATCACATATCCACCATACAGATGTATTAACATCTGAGCCATGATAAGGTAAACAATGGCCTTTTCAAAAACAAAAACAAACTTTTTCATTAGAAACAAAAAAACATGATTTGAACATACGATGATAATATTCATTACATAAATCACATTGAAGCATTAATTCAGAATAGGGTTTTTCGCATATACAATATGTTGATGATGAATCTAAACGTTTCTTTTGATTATTTTCACGTAATTCATTAAGACATTCAATTTCTTTCATTGTTGCTTCTCGATAAACTTTATACTAAATAAAAAATAAATAAGATAGTAGAAAAAAAGAATTTAACAACAATGTATTTATAATGTCTGTCATAGTCAATGGAGTTTTCGATCAAATGCATTCTATAGCAAGGTCTTCAAAAACTATTGAACGCGATAGTCTTCAAATAAAGGGTTGCTATATTGTTCACGATCTTCTCTTGAAAAGTTAAAAACATCACAAAAAAAACGAAATTTATCAAAAAAATGACCAAAAAAATACCTTCTTTCGATTTTTATGATACATTTAACGTTTTCAGGGAAGATCATAGGAAATGCAATGACCTCACGTTTTGTACTCTTTAAAATGTTATTGTTAAAAACATAGCTTCTAGGAACTGAAGATTACCATGTCCAGTGCTTTTTAGGGAACTTTGCCATCATAGTTCATCTAGGAAATTCTTATCACTTGATATATTTTAAACAATTTTTAAATTTAATTTAACTTTTCCTTACCACAGTTTTTGGATCATTCTCATCACTGGCAAGTATTTTAGCGATTGTATCATCTAAAATTCCAATTGATTCATTAATTGGTCCATCAACTGTTATTCGTTTCGAAGCTTGTCTTTTTTTTGTTATTGTTTTTGGTGCAACACTTATACGTGGTGTAATCATCTATTTTTAAAGAAAAAATTTTTATAATTTTTTTTGTGTTTTTATCTAAAATTTCAACCTCGATTAAAGTTAAATTTGAATCTGGTCGACGAAAAACTGTTTGTGTTTTTTCAAGCCATGAACGTGCTTGTAAAATAGTTTGTTCAATTAATTTTAATGGTTCCAAATCAATATGAAAATGTCGAGCTTGATCATATAATTGTTCATATGATGACAAAAATGGATAATGTTCACCTTGTTGCATTTGTTCGAATTTTTCATTCCATGTATGACATTCACTAATTAAAGTTTTTATTTTATCAATTGAACTTAAATGAATATTTGCTTCATCAGCACTTTTAACAAATTGTTCTAAAGTATTTAATGTTGGACGTGGTCTAAACAATAAGAAAAATATAGAGTTATTATTGATGTTTTTGATATTCAAATTATTTATTTTATTTTTCGATGGGAGAAGACTATGGAGATTTATCTATTGATATTTTAACTCATGCAACGGATCAAAACTTCAACATGAATTTTGTTTTTGGTATACTGTTGCAATGCAATATCGTAGAAGTATTAAAGAAGAAAACAAAATATTCTAAATATATTTCTTTGACCTTTTTTCATCAACACATATAACTATTGATTACAACAACCGTTGTCGTAAGATATTAAACTAATTGATCGAGGCATACAAGAGACTAAACAACAAATAGTTTCATAAGAAAATCGATTATACATTTGTAACGTGAAAATAAACTTTATCTGAATATCTCATTGAGAAGTTGTGTGTTTTATTCAAATTAATATTGTTTAGCACAGGATTCGATAGTCAATAATTACGAAAAATCGGTGATACTACAAGATGTTATAATAACGTTTACATCACCTATAGTAAAATCTTTGTTTTTGGTAGCGTAATAGTAACTCATCCTTATGCTATAAAACTTAGAAAAGAAAAACAAAAAGGAAATCTTTCATATTGTGCGAATATTTTTTAAAATTCAAAAAAAAGTTACGAAAGAGTTCTCGAGTATCTTTTGTTTTAAGTCTTTTGTTACCTTCAAAAAACATTTCCGATCAAAGTCTTTTATATGCTTTTGCACTAGACATTTGCTTCTATCTAACAAAAGAAAAGATCAAGTCTTTCCAATATTGTGTGTCAACACGATATCAAAAACAAAATAGATAGAGAAGTTTTGCTCCGTCCGTAATATTAAGAAATAATCAAGATTAAGAGAAAAACAAGTCATCGTAGCTGCTGTTTACGTGTAGTATTGAGTTTTATGGATTAGTCAGATTGATAATTTTAGTTTCTAATAAAGATAATATTTTGTTAAATCAATAGTTTGATTATACAAAGCTTTTTTAAATATTCCTCTAGAAATCTAAAAATATCTGATTTAGAAAAAATGAAATTTTCACAAGTTAAAATTCTCTACATTTATTAATAATTAATCAATTTTTATCAAAATAATTCAAAAAGAAAAGACTTTTATATCATTTGAAAATTTTCTTCGATAATGTTTCAGTTTTTCTTTTTCTTTTTTTTTTTGTTGTTGTAAACTTAAGTTTTATTCGATTCTAAGATTTGTCATATAATTTAATACTAATATAATTCAACTGAAATAACTTACTCTTCTTTGGTTAATTGTCGAGATTTTTCATCCCAATATTCTAATTGTTGTAATTGTGTTTGTAATTCATTAATTTTTTGTTGAATTTGTTGATGTAATGCTTGAAATGCTTGCCCAGATGATATTAATGATCGAAGCTTACTTGGTGATATTGTTCGATTTAATGTTTTTTGTACAAGTTCATACCAAATACTAGCTTGATAGAATAATTTTAAACGTTCAATAATTGGTAATTCAATATGATATTGATCACTACGTTCAATATAATTTGAATAAACATCAGTTGATTGAAGTTTATCCGATTGAAGTAATGTTTTTATTTCATCTTGATAATGAAGACAATCAGTTAAAATATTCTTACAAAAAAAAGAAATTTTAAAATTAATAATAATCATCAGAGAAAAAAAAAATTGTTTTTACTTCAATAGTATTCATTTCATGAAATGTAATACCGATTGATTTGACTCGATTTTTTAATTGATTTATATCATTTAATGTAACTTTATTTTCATCATTGAGATTTCTTTTTTGCTTTTTATTTAAATCATCATCATTATTGTTTTCTATTAATTCCTCTCTAGAATAAAATCAATTAATTATTTAATCTATCAATGATGATATTATTTTATTCTTACTTGCACGTTATACGTTTTAAAATATTTTTTGCCATTTGTCGATAATCCATAGCTTCAGCTAATTTTTCTTCCATTTTCATACGAATATCATCACGCAAACATAATACACCAGATGTTGTATGTTTTTCAATATCATTAAAATCTATCATAAAAAAAAATTGAAATCGTATTCTATGATTAATAACAAAACTAAACGCAGGCATAACTATTGTGGAGCAGGACGTCCCTTATTTCTAAAACTCAATTACTCTTTACCTTCTAGTATGCATCCAGGCGGATATTAGATGAAAAAACGAAAGTTATCCGACGTCTCAGAATGTTCTATTTTGTGCTCTCTAGCACCACAAAACTAGTACAAACATTCCTGAATTATACAGCAGCTTTGCTAAAAAGCCTTCCCTTTGTTTTTGCTAAATTTCAGTTTTTCTAAACTACAAAATATTTCTTTTGAAACTCAATGATGTATTTGAAAACGACGTGCGAAATTACATTTGATGTTGTATGGCATAAGACGTTTTCTAATCAAACAATTTTATAGAAGAAATGTAGACAAGAGATTCTCCTCGAATGTTTTTCACTGGAAGATTCTTCTATTTTTCAAAAATATTTCATTTCCTATTCCGACAAAACAAGTTATATGTCCATCTGCAATGTGAAAAACGTACATTGTGCCCCCTTTTCCCGCCTATCTCTGAAAATAAGTGTAAAATTGTTTTTGATTTTAACTTATAAAACGATTATACACTTCTCTATATTGAAAAAATAGAAGAATCGCTAATCTATTATTTCATACCAATAAGAGTTTGATGATCACTTGAAATAAGTCGATTAACAAGTACTTTCCATTTTTGACAAAGATCAAGACGTTCACGTAATGCATCAAGCATATTTGACATTTCATCAATTGTATAACGATACCATAAGCAATATTTTTTCGGAGAACATGGACATAATTGATCAACATGATTTATACAAACAAGAATATCTATAATTGTTAATTTATTCAAACAAACAAAAAAATATAAAAATAAATAAACATACTTGGTTTACATAAACAAGATATAGCCGATAAGAAACATGTTGTTTTACAAGCATCACATTGTCGTTCATCATCAGGCATTAATTCAAAACAAACTCGATCTGCATCTGTTACTCCCTTGAAGAAAAAAACGATTCTATCTTTAAAAAACAAGTTTTTTTTTTATTAACAAACTTGTTCATATGCTAATTTTCGGCTATTTTTTTCTTGCTTAACAATATAGTCAAATTCAAATTTTGTTGCATCACCTATAGCTGGATCAAGATATTGACATTCTGATGCAAGTTTACATATTAATTCATCATGTGAAAATACACTATAACGTTTCACTTCTTTATAATGATCTATTGCACAACGACCCATCGGAAGCTAAATTATATATATTAAATAAATATTCATTAAAAATTAGTTTGTCAATAAAATTTACCCAATCAGCTGGACAAAAATTATTTGCTTCAGCAAAATTAAAACCTTGATTAAAACCTGCATGATAAGCACGAGGAAATGTTATAACAAATTCTCCAGCATGTTGATGTGTTTTAACAACTGGTACACCATCATGAATTAATATTGATGGATTCATTGTTGTAACAAGATGATGAAGAAGATCAGGCGTTTTAGAAAATAATTCCGGAGCATAAGATTTCATACAATTTTCTAATTTTTCGGCACTAGAACCTGGTACACCATACCAAGTTTTTGGTTCTCCCCTAAACAAAAAAGTTCTTAGCACAATTCTTATAGAATTAAAATAAGAAACCCAATGCAGTTTTGAGAAATGCAATAAGGAAGTAGTAACGAGGCATTATTGATATACGGTCTTTGACCGTATATCAATAACAATTATGGGCGGGGGGTGAAAATTTTTTACCCTAAAAAATGTCCCATAAGGTCTGAGCCTCAACGAAAGTTAGTTTATGTGTAAACAAAGAGTGATCTGTATCCTATTACATATATATATATGAGCTTCGAGTAGTTAGGACAATGCTTTAACTGGCATATTATTCGATGGCACAATCTCTTTTAATTTTAGTGATATAAGCAGAAGACACGTGTTAGTTAAAATCTCGAAATCGATCAATATTTTTTTAAAGGAGTTCTAATGAACTATGAATTCATCGTATGTAATGTAACACAATTATACAAAGTGATCCGTAATATCTAGGGTGTGGTTATCCTACAGACTAGACTCTACCCGGTTGGTTATGAACCCACACCCTAATAAAGAGTTATGTTCTTATGATTTTTTTTTCACATACCAATGAAGATAGTTAATTGAATATGACCAGTGATCTTCAACATGCCAACAAAAACAAGAAAAACACATACCAACATAAGCCCAAGGAACCTTTTTTTGAAATAAAAAAACAAATATATATCTGATCTGATAAATTTATAATATTTTTACTTTCATGCCAGATATATCAGCATTAATATATCGTAAAACAGATTTATAATGACAAGCAAAATTATTGAGATTCCATGGAGAATCGAGATATTTCTAAAAAGAAAGAATATTATATGAAGAAAAATTTTATCGAGATGTTTTGTTTCATTTACTTTATCATTTTCAGTTAAATCTTTTATTTTTGTTGTAGGAAATCCACTACCTAATTCACTTGTTTGTAAATCTGCTCCATATTCAACTTTAACGGATGCATCCGGTAATGAAAGTATACGCCAAAATTCTTGTTCAACATCATCACATGATATTTCCTAAAGGTTTATTTAAGAAGTAAAGAATTTATTTTTTTTCTTGCAAATAAAACATACTGATAATGGCTTTTTGAAATAATTTCGTTTAAATTCATCAGCCATTTCACCGAATTCTCCTAATGTATATTCTTTTCCTGATTGCTCAAATCCGTAAGCATCCGTTGGTGTTGCTGTATGATATAACTAAATAAAAATCCTCGTTTTCGTATGAAAAAAATAAAATAAAATATTAATATTTGATTTACTTGTGCAACACATTTAGGGCATCGCCATTGACCACGAGGAATTTCAATTAAAGCTGGGATAAGACAATATGTATGATAGCAATTATCACATATGTCACAAATTAATAAATAACTATCATCATCACCACGCGTACAAGATTTACATACAAAATTAGCAAACTAAAAAGAATTATTAATTTTAATGAAGATCAATATCGATATTTGTCCTTGTTTACTGTTAGTAATGAAAAATTCATCTTTTTTCATTAAACATCTTAACAAATAGCATAATACGCAAAAGAATAAATGATAAAAATTCTTTGTGAATCACCATCCTGTTTTGAATTCAATTGCTTTCATATTAATTTAAAGGATATATCGTTTTACATTTGTCTATGAATGATTTAACATCTGTCAATTACGGATCTAGCTTATTTATAACAACCTGCTTCTATATTTTACAGGTTTTGGATTCGTCAAAACTTGATAACAAATTTAAACTATCTTTTTAATGACTTAAAATTTTTGTCCATTTCATTTTTTTGCTTTATGAATCTATATTATACTACTCGTCTATAAGAGAACTACCTGAATTAGTACCTATTGTTGGGGTCGAGCATCAGATCTCGGTGACATTAGCCAAAGTTCAAAAGGATTCGTCCCCAAATGTCTTTATCACCGAGTTATGAATGGTTTACTGGATTTTCGGACTAAAATTTTTCCTATAGATAGAGCTAATGACTCCTGCAAGTTTCAGCCAAAGAAAAAGCGTTATTTTGTCAAGATAGTCCTTTGTCACAAAAATTGGATTCACTTTACAATTCAATAACTCAACGAACGAACATTATTTTCTACTGACACTTTCAGGGTATTCTAAGAGTGAAAACATATAACTATGAGCAAAACTTTGGATTGAAAACCCAGTAAACCGATCATAACTTGGCGCCTAAAGACCATACGGATAAATCCTTTTTGACTTTTACTAGGCTCAATGAAACTTGTTTATGAGTTCACACAGTGAGATCAGTTCTAATATATCATTAAATAAAATTTTATTTTCTTACCGGATCAACATTATTTGTAATTGATGGTGGTGAAATATCTTTTCGTTTATTTCCATTTTTCATTGTTCCATTTGATTCAACTAAATAATCGACAACAACAAATAAAAGAGAAAAAAATCATTTAAAATTTTTAATGAAATTATCAAATATCAATCTACCTGTTTTTGAATTATTTCCTTTTTTTAAATCAATTTGATTTGATAAATCTGTATGTTCTTCATAAATACCTGTTTCATAAACGTCATAAGATAATAATAATTTTTCATAATGTTGTTTCAGAACACGACTTGTTTGTGTATCATGAAAATTCATTTTACGTGCAACATTCGCCCATTTTTTTTGTGAACAACACATATCATACCCACCTTCTTCTTTAACAATCTAATGATAACAAAAAAAAAAGTTCAATTCAAAATTATCTTTTTTTTTTTATAAACAGAAAAACAATACTAAAAAAATCTTACTAACCTTATGTAATTTTGCCAAATCTAAACTTTCTTTTTCAACTGTCGGAATTTTTAATTTAACTCCTTGAGACTCAAATAATTTTGTTAAACGTTCATAAAATTTTATTTTTGCTCGTGTACCAGCTTCAAGTTCATTAATACGTTGTATACGTGGTGTAAAACGAAATTCATCAACATTAATACAAAATGGTGGTTGCCATTCCTTTTAGAACAAAAACAAACAAAATAAAAACAGCAATTTATATGATCTCGTTACTAGAAGTTTACCTTTGGTGGAATTATTTTACAAAGCCCAGCTCGCGATGCAATCGGACGAATTTTTTCAACATATTCAAGTGGATCAATAAATTCATCACATGTTGGATAGAATACAGGTGCTTCGGGTGGTGAAATATACGTTTCAATATTCATTTCTTTTTTTCTTACATTAACTTATATAGATTATTGAAACATAAACAATATAATATGTATCGAATGGAAAAAGACAACTCTGATATATTGATGAATGACTTCCCGAAAAAAAAAGAGAAACATTCAGTGACATCTCTTTCCATCGACCTTCTTTTTCATAGGTTTAGATCATCCTAGATAACGCCACAAGTAATTTATTTAGAATTAATATGTAAATAAAATCTTAAGATAATCTTATTTAAATAAAATCATATTTGAATTGATTGAGTATAAACAAATTTTATCTTTGTACAATCATTTGACGGACTTTCACATAAGAGAATAAATAAACTTTTCTTTTTTCTTTTTTCTGACACTAAGTATTGCTTGCTTATCATCAATCAATATTTATGTGCAAGCTGCTTTTTGTTTTTTTAATTAAGTAAAAAACAACAATCTAATAAGAAGAAATATAAAATTCAAATTCAAATGTTTTTCGAGTTAAATCAATTTTCATAGTCGATTCAAATGAGAAAGTTTATTTATATTTCTCAATTAGAAAAAACCATTATTCAATTGATGATAAAGGTTCGTTTTCCTTGACCTTCACCTTGAAAAAACAATAGTAAAAGATTTGAAGATAATTGATATTAAACAATTATTATTTATACTTCTGACAGAAAAGAAATATTTTATTATTGGTAAAATTGAAAATTAAGCAACGATTTATTCATCTAAAAAAAAAACTATTAATTGTACTCTGGAAAAACTATTAAGCATTCGAATACGAATGAACGATTCCGGATCGAAAGCTTTGATCGTTATTTATATACCACTTTGCAAATATTGATTTCATTCTGTTGAAAGAATCTTCCAAATTGAAAATATTGTAATAAAAGAAAATCTTATGTTTTTCTCTTTATGCTATGAAAAAAACTTTTAAATCAAACTAACAGTTTGATAAATAAACTTTACAAGAAAGCCATCAAAAAGAGAAATCAAGCGTTTTTCTGAGCAAGAAAAATTCTAGCGAATATACCAAGCTTAAGGTACTTGTATATTAAGTCATTTGTCAGCAGAATACTTCTTTGAGTATCTTGTTATCAGTAGGTCAAAGGTTCTTGATTGAGTACCCTACTGAGAATTGTCTCACTAGAGAAGTTCTTCAATTGTTCAATTGCTTTTGAATTGAGAGTATATGCCTATTGTAGATACAAATGAGCTTTGAATACCTTACTCTCGTTAAATCTTGTGTCTATGCACAGTTTCAAGTCGAAATTCGAAAATCTGGTTTTTCTGGTATTCAACTACGACATTTATTTAAAAAATATTGTCAATGTGTAATATCTCCATAGCAATAAACTAAGGTCACGAGTTCTTTCCATAGTATTCATAGCTCCATATGCACATAGTCTCCACTCAAAAGCAGTTGAACAGTTGGAGAATTTTCCTCATCAGCGCATAGGTACTTATTAAATATCAGTCCACTTTCTATAACATTCTATGAAAAAGTTTTCAACAAGTTAGTAGACTAAATATATAGAAGTATTTTGTAGTCAAGTGCTAAAACCTCATCAAGTAGCTGAAGGTTACTGTGATTTACTGATAGCAGAGTACTCTAAACTCAGTACATTCACTAGAGAACGAATGATGTCAGTTCCAATTTTGATCTTGTGTATATTCCAAAATTCCGAACAGATATTGCATTTAGTGATGTTAAATAAAATCATACGAAATATAACAAAATATTCTTATGAAAATCTTTTCTAATGATTCATCACTCATGACTGGTAATTTTACAAAAACAAAACCTAGAAACATCAAACTATGATTCATGTTTGTTGACTAATTTTAAGCAACGTCTACATTTACTAATGATTCATGTTATTACTCCATGCACAAATAATCAAGAATTAGTATAAAAAGACAAGAAAAGAAAAGAAAAGAAAAACAAGAACGTGACAATGGGTATGGCACATGTAACTAGTGGTCGAGGGACATTTACCTATCAAGATTTGATAAATTCAAATGTGAGAAAAAAATCTACGAAATTATTTTAAATCTTATTTTTCTTTTTTGTTTTGCAAAAAATAGCCACCAACATTACCTAAATCATTTATTCCAAAAAGTCTTCTTAAACGTATGTTAATTCGTGAAAATGAATTACGTTTATCCGATGAATATCAAAAACGCTATTGTGAAGCAGAAAAAACGTCATCATCATCTTGGTTAGATGTAACTGATGAATTACAACGACAAATTATTCGTGAATTCAATTTAGATGATGAAATAGATGATGCATTATTATGTTTAAGATGTGCAACACAAATTTATCCTGATTTAAAACATATTCCACTTTATGTTCAATATAATCGAGCTAAAGATGGTGATTTACAAATAGGTGATATTGCACCTAACGTTCCAGTTGTTCAACTTGATGGACAAGAAAGTCAATTATTTGATGGATTAAAATCTTCATCAACAGTATTAATTGGTGGATCATATTCATGACCACCATTAAGAGCTATTATGTCTCGATTATTGGAATTATATAATATATATTGTAAATATATAAATTTTCGTTTTATTTATATTCTTGAAGCACATGCACAAGATGAATGGCCTATTTGTAGTTCACGATGGAGTCCAACACAAATGCCAATTAAATATAATCAAACTCATACAATTGAGGAACGTTTAACAGTTGCAAAAGATTTTATTCGAGATTTTAATTTTGAAATGTCTGTTGTAATTGATAAAACAGAAGAAAATTTATTTGAAAAATTATATTCATCATGGCCTGTGCGAATATATGTTATTGATAAAGATTATCGTTTGACATATAAAGCTCAACCAAATGAAAGTATGTTAGAATTGAATGAATTAATTGAACATCTACAATTAATTATTAAATCAAATGAATAAGATAAATATTAGATGAATAATAAATGATGAATCAATTTGAAAGTCCCTAAATAATGAGAAAAAATTGTATTCGGAGAAATTATTCATTTAACTTATTTATCAGTATGATAGTTTTATGAATTTTGAATGTTTTTTTTGTCTAATAAAATAAAAAGTAAAAACAACTTCAGAAAACATCTTAGGAAGACCATTAATATATGATTCAATGTGATTTGATCTCCTGTTTTCTATGGCAAAACTCGCAGTTCTCTATCCTGTTGCTATAAAAAGTTATTTACAAAATATTCACTATACTTTCTGTTTGAAATGACCATGTGTAATGGAAACATTGTAAAATTGATGTTCTCTTGTGGAAACAAAGCATTAATTCCGTATATTATTACGAATTTCAATCATATGATTATATGTTCTAAGTAAAATTATATTGAATTTTCTTATGTTTACATGACAAAGATTAAATTGAAGCATTTCATGATTGTTTTATACATGAAATACAAATCGATACTATCCGATTATCAATCATGAAAAGACTAACATGTTGAACTATAAAAGATGCTATTCAACTACTGTCCAAATCAATCGTTTTTATATCCTTAAATTCATTGGAATAGACTTCAATATCCTCAAAGTCATTTTCGATAGAGTTGATCCATATGAAAAGGTAAGTAGTATTTACTACCGCACAAAAATAAGATCGCTTATCACGAATAACACATGTAATTTGAAATCTCTCGTTGACATAATCCATTGTATAAATTCCAGCTTTTGTAACACAGATAAACTTTTGTAATACTACTTCACCAATTTATATCGTTCGTAATAACGTGTATGCATTACACTTTCTTCATCATTTACTATTCGATCAATAATGTGCAAGATGTTAACTTGTGATAATTTTAGTAGTTCTAAACTTAACATTATCAAACATGAAAGATATAACAAACAAACTTCAAAGGACTTGAAAGTTCCAGTTAAATCCTCTTTTTTCATTGTGTGAAATATATCTACTTGTTACTCGATTATTTAAAGTTCTATCGATAGCTTTTTCATTGTTCTCATTTGAATAGTACATGTCGATTTTTAAGCACATAATCGCAAAAAAAGTAAGAAGATTATAAAATTATCTTATCAGCGTATCTTTTTACCTGTTTACCTTGTTTTGCTCTTTTCGTACCAAAAATGATTTTCTTTTAGATTTCAAGTAATTCATTGATGTACGTCTTAAAATATCGATTGATATTGTTGTTTCATCAACAATCATCTTTTGTTTCTTTCTTTAGTAATTCTTGCAATTCATTGTATTGATGAGAAATTTGAACAACATCTTGTAAAACTTCGTCATAATGTTCTTCGATACAGTTCATACATAATGGCATAAAACAGTATTTACATTGACAAAATAAAAGTTAAATATGATTATATTTACTTGAATATGATATGCAAGATTCAAAATCATCATTGTTTTATATTTTGTATTTAAGTATCTTACAAAATTGTTGAAGTTTGTTGTCTTGAGGTTTTTATAACAATACAAGAAAAGGATATCGTATTTGCAGTGCATATGATAATACATACAGAAGTCATACTTCTGGTGAGAAAGTATTATTCGTATGAAGTCTTAGAAATTCTTTTATAAGATATTGAAGAAATAATGAAAATTGATAATATGTATCGCAACAAGTCTGTAGATTTCTTCTGTTAAAAAGAGTGGATTTTGTTTGTCTGAAATTGCATTTTAATTTTTTTTTATAAGTATTTTAAAATAGTTCATAAAGCTTTTGATTACATTCAAAAAAATCGTCAACAAAAGAAAATTTTCATAAGATAATCAATTTATTAAGTGTCTGCAGAATTAATCCTATTTTTTCATTTAAATATCATTCCATTGATTAAGTTTATTCACTATTAAGGTTTATTGATTATACGAACGTCACTTATCAGATTGTGATTATGATATTGGTTTACTTCAGAATATTCTACTCATGAGAGAGAAAACATTTATTAATTATCATACAGAAGAAACCATTCAAAAAATCTCTTTAATCCTTATTACATTAGATCAGATAATTTCAGTTAAGAAATAGACAGTTATCTATCTACCAATGACAAAATATTGGGGAACCATATTTTTAATGGATATTTCCATGGGTAGTCAATCACAAAAAACACAAGCCTCTCAGAAGATTTTTTTCTTCTGTAAAAGTCGTTGCGCTAATCATTTTAGCAAAAAAAAAAAATTCAAATTTATTCAATAAATCATGTTGTAAGAACTAAAATACTCGAAAAATGTCAACTACTGTTCAACAGCACTCAGGAAAAGTCGAAGCCTTTGAGTATTTTAGTCCCAGAAATAGTATATTTGAACGCTTTTTTTAGCTAAAATGATCAGCGAAGCGAGTTCTACACACGAAAAAGATTTTCTGAGAACCTTATGTTGTTATGGTTGACAACCCATGGAAGTATCCATCAAAAATACGATTCGTAAGCATTTTGTCTTTGGTAGTATAATGTATAATATTCTTACTGAGAATTTTCAGCTAAATGACCATGTCTTTTTTTTTCTTATACTTTTTTTCGTGCATATTTAATGGTGCTTTTAACTGGAGAATTAATGCTACTCACTTCCGGTACATATATATATATATATCAATACTTACTCTAAGCAGTAAAGGTTAAATATTATTTTATTTTAAAATCGAGTATAAGTTTTATTAATTTTTCTTATAGAAAAAAATAAACTAAACAAACTCATGAAGTTTGTGGAATTAATTTAAGTAAATGTCGAACTGGTCTTACAGCAGCTAATCGTACTTCTCTCACTTGATTTTCTAATTGTTGTAATAATATCTCGTGATGTGAAATCCAATGTGATAATGTCCACGAATTCATTGCATTATTTTTATCAGGATGTAATATTTTTTTTGAATTATAATCTAAAATTCTCAAACCAATTTGACCAGTCTGAGCTAGATTTTCTGATAATTGTTCAATATCTTGTCCCCATATGTTTTTATTTTTATTTTTTTCAACCGTATCAAATAATTGTCTTAAACGTAAATGATTAATAGACCAAGTTTGAAATATATCATGATATGTTTTATCATCATTAGGAAGTTTTTCTAATTTCCATACGAGTTCACTTTCTGATTGTAAAGCATCGGCAAATGTGGTTAAAGGAACATTTGTTGAATATTTATCAGTATGCGAACGTTGTGGATGACCATATGGTTCACAAACATCAGCTAATATAACTAATGGATGTAGAAGATCGTTTTTTCTATTTGGATCAATAATTAAATTTTGTAATTGAGTTTTATATGATGAAATATGTGTTACACCTGTTTGCAGTTTATCAAGTAAACGATTCATTCGAAAGAGACGTTCATAGAGAAAATTTTCATCTGAAATTGTCGACGGAGACCAAAAACGTTCAGCAATAGCAAGAGAACGAGGCCAAATACGAGAATCAACTGAATGTTGTGTGATAAATTCACTCCACATACATGCTTCACCACCTAAAATATTACTTCGATAATTCTCATCTATTAAAGGCACATTATTATTAAGAATTGGATCAACATTATAATGGCTTATTGATGATGAAAGATGATCGAGATAATAACCATTAGAAATTATAACTCGATAACCTTTTTCTGCAGCATTTACACTTGCTTGTCGATTTAACCATGATTGAATAACAGCAGTTTTATATAGTGTTAAATTTGCACGAGTTTTATCAAGAATTTCTTCCCATCCAACCATTATTTTTCCATGTTTTTTAAGTATTTCTTGTATACGTGTATTAAAATAAGCTTGTAAACCATGTTTATCTTCAAGTCGATGTTCTTTCATAAATTTTTGAAGTGTTTGTGATGTAGCCCATTGTGAACCTTCAACTTCATCACCACCAATATGAAAATATGGATCAGGAAATAATTTTGTCATTTCTTTAAAAAATTTATCAAGAAATATATATGTATTTTCTTTGGTTGGATCCATTGTAGATTTCATTACACCCCATTTAGTTGCAAGTTGATATGGACCTGGTTCAGTAGCTAATTCTGGATAACCAACAAACCAACTAAAATATATATTCAAATCAAACAAATATTATATCTTAACAGTTTAAAAAAAAAAAGATTTTTTCTCATAAAAAAAAAGATCAATTTGCTATTAATTACCTGGTTGTATGACCAGGAATATCAAATTCAGGTATAATACGTATACGTCGTTGTCGAGCATATTCAACAAGATGTTGAATGTCTTTTTGAGTAAAAAAATCTTTTCTATCATGTAATAAATTGTATTCAATACTTTCAACACGAAAACCTTGATCATCAGATAAATGTAAATGAAGAACATTAAGTTTACTTAATTCCATTGCATTTAATGTTCGTTCAATTACTGTCACAGGCATCCAATGACGNAGACAATATTCAAAAACTCATTCATTTTCAGCAACGGATCATAGAGATATGAAGGTTTTTTCATAAAAAAATTTATAATCCGACATTGGCCTAGGCGAATCTGAGATTGGCCTGAATCCGAGATTGGACGCTAACATATATATTTCTTTGTTATATCATAACAACAATATGCATTCATTCATTTTCTGTTCCTGATTTCTTTTGGATCAAGAGCTTTCAATAAACAATGTTACGTTTTATATATCGATATCCGCTTGACATTTTCGTTGTTGATCTCGACTAATTTTGCTACTGAACTAGCCATTAGAACATTGCGCCATTTCTCCACATCACTAGGACAGTTGATAAAACCATCACTAGTTGTTTTGTCGGTACACATAAATTGTTCGAGTTTAATCCTATCAGCTTATGAGTTCTATGATTTGACCGGTCACTAGACAATCGAATATGAACTCAATTCTCAGATCTGACTCCAGGGATGTACTTCGATATCACAAGTCCGAGTAAGGTACGAAGATTGTTTGGTTTGTATATTATGAGAGTTTTGCTACAGCTCATTATCATAATTCAATAAACACAGAGAGAAACCAAGCTTGTCTTGTCTTTCCATAAAAAGAATAGTTTTTTCATCTTGATGAAAAAGAAAATGAATTCTTTTTTTTGAAAACTAATCAACGTTGTATTTTATTTCATACATTAAAGAACGCATAGCAATTTAATCATATCGAAAATGATTATAAACAGAAGCATTTTGATATTTTGTCGGTGATATTGATCACTATTAATAAGTCAATAAATCATTCATTGGGTAGACTTTTAATTGTTTCACTTCACTTGTTACAAAATTTAAAGTATATTTTATTACGTAAAAGAAAATTTATAGTAAGTTATCTGCTAACTTATATATAATATATGTGAGTTCTAAGACACTACACTAACAAGCTTCTCCTTATAGTCAAATATGTGAGCAGTCTTCTTTTCTTCTCAAAGTATACTAATGATTTATGAGTCAATATAGAAAAAAAGTCAATACTTCTTAATCGTCTAAATGATGACTTTATTTTACATATAGTTCATATATCTATCAATCGAATTTCTTCTTATTAATATTTAGTTTTTTTTTTCTTGAACAATCAATAGAATTCTAAAACTGTGAAAATACTTAATGATGAGTGATGAGAATTTTTTTTCTCAAAAATGTATTTCAAACTTTAGTTATCACTCGGACAGTATCTTATGAAAATTAATTCTATCGCACGAATGTTTATTTTGAAATGTTTCATTTTGAAATTTTAAAAAATATTCTAAATAAAAAAATAAACATCATGAATTCAATCATTTTCTGTTTGACCAAAACAAAACAAAACAAATCGTATACATCATTTAATTATCACCAATATTCATATACAAGTTCAATTTTCTTGGTACGATTTTAACATATAAGTATAACGATGACACAATAGTCAATAACAATACAAGGACATATTCTATGTATATACACATATAAACGATGAACATTCAGAAACACCTTATTTTATTTCTCATGACGTTGACCTATTGAAAAGTTCTCATTCGTTTTTTTTTATATATGTGAACAAACCACACGAGTTTTATGCATATCGTATATGCTATACTATTACATCTATCCATATAGAAAATGAACGAATGTACAAGTGATAGTAAGAATGAATGAAAAAATTCTTCGGTTGACTGAGCAAACTAAAGAGCATACCAACTCTCGATTCGATGGTCAGTGTCTCCCCAGGCGACGACCAACAGTTATATGTCGATGAGAGATAGAAGGAAGACGATGAACGATTTTTTCGTGTGATAATCGATGGGCGCATCTTGAATAGACAAATATTTATGTAGGCAGTTTCACACGTATGCTCCAAAATGAAACTAGTAGAAGGAGGCAAATATCTCTTCTTTTTTAGTTGATATATATATATATAATGAAAAAACAAGAGTAGAGACCTTACTGTCCATTTACGTGTGACCGTTCAGCATATCTAATTTCTATTTTTTACACACTTTTCTTTTTCTCTTCCAATCTCTTTTTCTTCGCTTCTCTTTATATATTATTGAAATCATTATTAGAAAAAATAATTCAAACTGTCGTACGCAAGTCACATTTTTTATACCTAAATGAGTCAAAATAGTCATTATGAATAAAAGAAGTTAGATATACAGACGTTTACGTATGACCGTTTAGTTGAGTCTATATTATTCAATAACTAAGTGTATTTTTGTCATAATTATTACTTGATCTGTATGATCAATTTTTTCATATATATGACAAAAAATCAGTTGAATATTTTATAGGTAGACAACATATTAGATTTTTATTCTTATTCAATAAAATGTATCAATGCATGATTCCACCGCGAATATTTCTTGCTGTTGGTGTTGGTTTACTTATATTTAGTCTTGTACTTGGGTGGATATCATTTTCAGTACCTGATTGGTTACAATATTATGAACGTAATAGTTTGAAAAATTTAACTAAACGTGATAGTAATAATGCAAATAATTTACAAAACGATACATTAATTGATTTAAGAAAATTTGGTCTTTGGTATAAATGTATTTTTTCAACAAGTTCAAATGATTTTATTTGTACATTGTGGAATAATGATACACCGAGTAAAATTTTCTATTTTAAATTCGTTTGATTATTTGTTCAATTCTTCTTCTTTTTTTGTTTTTTTTTTGTAAATAGGTTTTGTACGTGTTGCACAAGTACTTATACCATTTGGTTTATCATTAGAATGTCTTTCACTTTTATCTGCTATTATTGGTTTTATGTCTAGAAGAGCTTTTGTTACTACTGTACTTTTTTCAGCATTATTTGCATTTTTAAGTTGTAAGTATAAGATAAAAGACTTTTGGTTTATGATATATAAAACAAATAGATTTTTTGGAATTTGAATAAAACATAATAGGAACATGATGAAGTTCATAATGAACATTGTGTCTAACAGTTCTTTAAGGATCTGATACTGAGCGAAATATATATATTGATATATTTAATATCCTTTATTTATCTACTTTTTTTTATAGTAAAATTTTTAAACCATTGAAGACTTTATATGAAATTAGGATAGTTTCTTTGAAGTCTACTGCATTAGATACAACCGTGTTCCCATCGTTCTATTCTCGGCTGATAACTATTATAAATTAATCTATAATTGTAACTAGATTTTAGTTAGATATAAAAGGTATGGTTCTGATCATGATTTGTATAGGAACAAAACTTAAATCTATTGTCCGACATTGGAAACTTTAAGTACATGATAGACGTAACTGTTAAAAAAAAAAAGACCTAACCATTTTTTTTATTGTGAGAAATCCTATTTTCGTTTTAAAAGAAAATTAATTATATAGAATTTTTTTTTAACTTTCATTGTAATTCTATCTATTCACTACTTTTCTTTTCAGTTATATTTACAACGATTGGCGTGACTGTATTTGCAACAGAATCGATAGTTTATGTTGAACGTTTACGTTCAAATAATAATGACTATCCACGTCGTTGGGCTATGTGGTTATTTGTTCCCAATCTTATTTTATCTTTTCTTGCTTCCCTTTGTTTTATTCTTGCATCAATATTTAATTGGTGTGATTATCGAAGTATGCATGCAACAGGAATTCTTAGTCATGCAGCTGATAAATATATCGGTAGTGTTCTTAAAGCACCATCAGATAGGTATTTAAAAACTTTTTAAAATATATCAATAAAATATTTTCTGTTTTCTTCTATTCATTATTTAAGTACGAACATAACATCAGGTACGAAAAAACAACATCAAATGGGTGGTCAAGATTATCCAAATACTTGTTACCAAATAAATGGTTCAAATAATAATCCAAATTCATTAGGTTATCCTCCACCACCAAGTTATGGTGCTCCTATGCATCAATATGCAGGTCCTAATGCACCTAATCCAACATTTCAAACAACGCCAGGATTATTTGGATATTCAAGACCGCCTAGTCCAGTGTATCCACATTCAACTGTAAGTTATGAATCAAAAATAAATAAAAAGATTTTTCTAATAATTTTCTGTTTTTTTAGATTGATCCTTATCATCATCGACATTATATGACTGAAGTATGTTTTCTATATATTACATATGAATAGTATAGAAAAATTGCAACATTTTTTTAGAACTCGGAAATGGACGAATTAACTCGTATGAGTGGTTCACGTCGTCATTCTCGTTCTTGTCGTCATTCAAGTCATCGTTCAAGATCACGTAGTCCACGAGAAAATTCATCAACTGGAAATAATACTCAAGACAACAATGCAAAACAACCTCAGTTTATTCCAATACCTGTTCCTTATTATCAACCTCCAACTCAACTGCCACAACCACCGCCAATACAATCAACAGCACAAACACTTAATACAACATCGAATAATAATAGCAATAATAATAATAATCATAATCAACCAATGTCGTATATTATTCAGCAACCTAAACAACAATTTATTGAAGAAATTATTCAACCAACAGTAAGAACATTTTGTTGTGGGTTTTTTTTCTGATTTATGAAAAGAAAAATTCTAAATTCATTTAGCCAAAAACAACTAATATGTTAACATATTGTCCCGAACAACCATCATTATTACTTTCAAATCCAACTCAGCCTGTTTATACAATAGCTTATCGTGCAAATAATGGTGGTGGTGTACTAGCTTCAAATATGTTAACTGGACCAGCAGCAACAACTTATGTTACAGCAACACGAGATCAAATTACAGAAGTTAATTCACTAAATAATGATATTGATAATGAAGAAAAAAATTGTCGAACTATTTCAAGACAACGTAATTTAAAAAAGGTTTTGTATTAAATAACTCTAAAGATTTATATTTGTATATTTATTATTTTATATGTTTAGATTAAAGCTAATGAAGTTTGGACATGGCGTAAATTGTGATAGAATTTATAAATTTAGCAGTAGAAGAAGTATATATTAGTGACATAAAGAAAAAGATTTCTTTTTTTTTCTCTTTCGGCTAGTCCGAATCGAATACTTTTGATGGAAAGTAATGTTTTTGTGCTTATTCTCTTATTTCAATACTTTTCAATTATCTGTTTAATTTGTTTTTCTTCTTATGTGTTCTTCCTTTACTGTGGACTGTTCGATTTTTTTGTTTGTTCTATGTAAGAAGGTACCTTCTTCTTACAGTTGTTCTGAGAAGTTTTTTTTTCTTTTATTGCTTCGCCTTCTTTTTCTTCTTATTCTTCTTCTTTACAAAAGTGTTGCAGAATAGATAAATATATACATATCTACATGGAAAAAAATACTGTATTCATGATGTCTATTCTACGTACTGATAAACGTACAGTGATGATCATTAACCACATTTGCTACGAGTAATGATGTAACAGACAAACAACAGTTCTGTTTTCTTGTGCTATGCATTCGTTTTCTGCTTTCATTGGACGAAAGAGAAGATAAGTTGGCATCGCAAGAAAGAAAAAAAAGAAGAACGTTTGTTTCTATAACTCGTTTTTTTTCCTTCCTTGCTCTATATGGACAATTTTATAGCATATGTACTCATCATACTTTGTGCGTCCAATTAATAACATATTTCTAGCTATTTTAGTAGACCTTCGAATTATTACAAATATATTCCTTGATATTTGGTGTACATATATAAATATATATTTGCACAAACAGAAAGGTATAACTTCTTTTCATAAACGAACTTCTTTTATTGAAAATTCTTCATGTATACTAACCCCATAATATACGCTCGTTTGCTTATTAATAATCGCCGTGTCTGGATACCATGTATGATTCTCTTCTGTCTATGTGCTATCACTATTGCTATGCAACAATCAGACAAAGTAGAAACCCCTATTTCTACTCAAATCTTACAAGAATTTCCATATTCATCGTCACATTCAGTGAGTTATGATGAGGTAAAATT